GAAATAATCTCTTGTTCCCATTTTTTGTGTGGGATCATTTCTTTGAGCCATTTCTATGTTGTCATTCTTTTGAAGATGACTGTTCAAGCAATGCCCCTTATTTAAGCACTTTCCCTGCGGAATCTTCCAAATCAATCACCTTTTTTCCAAGTCTGATATTATTTCTGATTGATAGTATAACTGAATTGTATTAGCCAATTTTTCTGTCTCTTGAAATTTAGTGTCCAGTGCTTTCATCTGCTTCTCATTTCCTGATAGTGTCTTCTGATGGTCTTTTTTTATCTGAGTAACATTGTTTTGAGTCATCTTTTTAGTATCTTCCTTTAATCTGTAATATTTGTTTCTAATTTCTTTTAACACTCATTTGATGCTCTTCCACCATCTCATTGCTTTTTGGGGGTCCCTCTGGTATTTATTCTTTGGACTATAAACATGTGAGTCCAGTAATTCTTGATAAACTCAAGTTTGATGGTCTCCTGATTCATGTCTCCCAAATATATGAGCTCTTTGCTGTGATTCTTATCAAGATACTCTGCTGTAACCAAAACCAGCAATAATTTCTCCATCCAGCAGAGGGATCCCTTTCATCATTCAATGAGTTAAGTAGTCAGCAAAACCCTTGCTTAAAATTCCTTGTGATGGCTCACATATCTGCTTTCTTCAATTGGCGATTATGTTTAAGCAGACCATGTCACTAGTTCAAGGATGTACTTCCTCCTTTTTAGCCCTTATCTATAGAGAATCTCCATTATTGATAATTTGCTTTAATATTTGTATTAGCCTTTATTTTAAAGCTTAGACTGGTAAAAGTCAGTTAGAAAGTGAAGCTTTCTCCTTCCCTATCTCACAGTCTCTCCCTCCCCATCTCTTTTGCCCACTGGGGCAATGGCCACTTGAGTAGGGATTTAATGATTGGAGGTGTCTATGATCAAGACCTTCTTAGTTAGATATTCACAGGGAGCTGGAACTTTCCCCTTCCACTTACTCCGGCATCCAACTGCTTCTCAGGGCTGAACTTGTAAAAATTATCAAGGCATCAGGAGCATTAGAAATCATTGTCTGATCATAGCCATTCACCAGAAGTTCCCCTCCCAACTATGAGTTGTATTATTATTTTTGTTATTATTATTACATTTCTATACCACTTGTAGCTGAAGCTTTCTTGGTGGTTTACAACACTTAAGTTACCCATCCAGATTTCAACCAGGCCCGACCCTGCTTAGCTACCTAATTAGGCAGGATCAAAGGAAGCCACTGCCGGGTGCTTATATTCTGTCTTGACTACACAAAGGCCCACTCTTGGTGTTACCTTGTCTAGAATTGCTGGTTTCAGTCCATGGGGTCAAGGCCATATGGTTAGTTCAAGTCTGAAGCTCCAAGTCAGGTGGGGGAGTCTGAAAAAATGTCCAATAAATGGGCGAGGAATCTAGATACTTAGCATCAACAAAGTCCAGAAACATGAACTCAGCACAGCTGGCTAATTAAGTCAGTGTGCTTTTCATGGAAACCTCACCTTTCAGAGCATTTGGATTTCTGTTGAAGTCAACATGGTGCACTCCTCCTCCTTTCTATGGGGTGGATTTCCTCTGGCTCTGGCTTTGGGGAACCACAGGGTCTGCCCCCAAAGGTCCTGGCTCCTCTTCTTCTACTGGAGGACAGTCATCTGCATCCACAACCCCTGTGTCTGACTGTGACTGGAGCTCACTGCCCTGACTATTTGAGGAATCCTTTTCCAAGTAGGACATGGCATTACTCCCCTCTCCATGATTGCCTCCTCTATCTCTTGAGGGCCCTGGTTTTCCAAAGTATTGATGAAATTGGTGAACCAGTTTAGAAGCATGTACAGTGGAGGCATTTTCCCATGACCTTCCTCTGGACTATATCCCACCCCATCTATAAGATATTGTAGTTGGCCATGGTATGTTGGGAGTCCAGTATTTCTGCAACCTCATATTCTCTCTCCCCACTTACTAGTACTGGAGCGGGTGGGCTGCAGGGGCATGATCTGGGTTGGTAGGTTCTGCAGGAAACAAAAGGAAGTGGTGAAACACTGGGTGAACTTTGGAGGGAGGCAGGCAGCTGTAAATTAAAAGCTGCCAGATTGACCTGTGCAGTGACAGGTTAGGGTCCAATGAATTGAGCAACCAGTTTTCAGCTGAGTCATTTAATAGGGAGATGATGTGTGGAGAGTCAGACATGGTCACCCACCTTAAGGATGGGCCTGTCTTTTGGCATCTGCAGAACTCTCATAGGCTTGTTTTGAGTTGTTCCTTCAAAAGGAGCTGAACAGCCTGAAGTTCTTGTAGTAGCTGGGACAGAAGATTGCTGGTCTATAGCAGGAAACCAACAGGAATGGTAACCATAAGTGGCAGAAGATTCTGAGGGGACCTGTTGGCGGCATATAGATACATGAGGGGGTGTCACATGGAGGTGGGTAGAGACCTGTTTTCCCTTGCAGAGGAGGGCAGGATGTGCTCCAGTGGAGCCATGCTCAAGGAACCAAGGTTCAATCTGGATGCCAGGAAGTACTTCCTGACAGTTTGGACCCCAAGGATATGGAATGGACTTCCATAGGAGGTGGTTAAGGCCCCATCAGTGAGGGTGTTCAAGGATAGGCTAGACATGCACATGGTGAGCATGTCGTGAGCAGAGCCAGCTGGAGCTGGGGGTCAGACTAGATAGCCTGGGAGACCCCTTCTGGCTGGCTGTTTCTATGTTAAGATGGGGGTTTGCTGGGTGGAGGGAATTGTACTATGCTAATTCAATGAGTGGTAAGAGTTCTACCCAGTTGTCTCACTGGTAATTTGTGTAACAGTGGAGATACTGTTCTAAGGTGGCATTGGTGCCCTCAGTCTGACCATCTCAATGTGGGTGCTATGTAGGGGACAAATGGGGCTTCACCTCTAGCTGCTGTAATAAGCTGCACTAAAACTGAGCAGTAAATTAGGAGTTGAGTTCTGGGACTATCCCCTCTGGAGGGCCATGGAAGTGAAAAACATGTCTGGCAAACACCTGTGCTGTATTTTTGCAGAGGGGATGCCAGGACAGGCAATGAATTGGCCATATCTTGCTGAATAGATCTACCACTACCAGAATAATAGTCTGTCCTTCTAGAAATAGGGTTGGCATAAGTTGGAGGCAGCCTGATGGCATATAACAGCAAGAGCCACCTATTTTTGCCATTTGATTTTTAATGTCTATTCCTAGGGAGCGCTTTCTGTCTATCCATCTCTTTTCTATTGCTATCTTATCCGTTGTACAACCCTATGCATTTTTAGACAGAAAAAAGTCCTGCAAGGTCCAGCATAGTAAAATTTAAACTATTTAAAACTAGAAAAAAGTTGCTATATTATATTAAGGTTCATATAAGTTAATTTAAAACCACTTTAAAGGAAATAATTATAATCTCACAATTAAGGCATCTAGAAAGACCATTATATTAAACCATCTCTCTAACAGTTGATTGCATTAATTTTCAAGTTTGTATGAATTCTCAATTCTGTCAAAGCAAAAATGGAAACTTTGTGAGTTACAGTAGAGTCTGTATTTGACAAAAGAGACAAAGTCTTATCTGGGAAAGTTATCACACAAGTAGAATGAAATAAAATGTAAGAATTTAGACATTGATACGGGTTATAAAGTGCAGAAAAACAAATAATGTGGCAAATCTTCAATCTCTGACATGCCACAGTTGCATAGACAACAAGCTTGGGGAATTTTAGAATAATTGCCATCAGTCATGGCTATTGGCAAGGTTTGAAAGTGAAGAGCCATGAAAACTGTCTTATATTTATTGTAGCTTATATTTAAAAAAAATCAACTTTGGCAAATAAACAGCTCTTTGATCACCATATTTATAAATCCTGTACCATTTTTAAAACTGTGAATTATGAATAGCCTGTCTATTCAAAATAACACAATGGCTAAATATAGTTTCATGAAGCATTTCTTTTGAACTCAAGATGGAACATAAAGCAATTGAAGTAGTAAAACAAGTTGGAGCAAGTTATGATATCTTAAGCTCCAAGATTTCATGTTCAACAACTCTTTGTAACATAATTTAGGCAAAACCCTAGCAGAATATTCTCTCAAAATTCTTCTGTAATTAATCAGAGAACACTGGATATAAGCTCTCATAGAGGGAAATCCAGCCTCTTCTGAATCAGGGCAACAGAGGTGCCACAAGTTAAAGATTAAACAATTAAAAGGAACTTCTTTTTTGGTGGGACTCCCAATTTACTCATTAAATATTTATCTCAACCCCCAAATGCAGTATTGTAAAAAATTCAGGTGATTAGTTTTCTCTGGAAGATTTTCAGAGGGGGATCAACCAAATATGTCCCCATGGTACAATAGCAATTTTCCTTCTATCCGCATGAGCTTTCTAAAAAAGCTTTCTTGTGAAATGAATGCCAGAATATTTGAATTTCTGGCACTGGTTAATCTGGTGGTCATCAATGAACTATAGGAAATGGACCAAGGGTGTTTTTTTCTGAACACCATCACCTTTGTTTTTCCCTGCAATCGGGCCACCATCCTTGTGGCCCTATGCTGCACTGACTCTAACCTGGCTATATCCTTCCTGTAACAAGGGGCCCAGAACTGAACACAATACTCCATTGCAGGCACACCAGAGTTGTATCGAGTGGTAGAAATACTTCTCTCGATCTAGAAGGTACACTTCTGTCTATGCTACCAAGGGTTGCGTTCGCCCTCTTGACCACCGCATCACATTGCTGACTCATGTTTAGCCTGCAGTCAACCAGTACCCCAAGGTCCCTTTCACAAGTGCTGCTCTCCAGCCGCTTGTCCCCTAACCTGTACTAATGACACCCATTCCTATACCCCAGGTGCAAGGTCTTGTGCTTACCCACATTGAACGCCATCCAGTTGTCTCCTGCCCACTTCCATAGTCTGTCCAGATCCTTTTGGAGCTGGAGTACCTGCTTCCTCACTTGTGACCACTGAGAGTTGTCTCTTTATGTGAATCCCTCCTCTAGGAGGTCCAAACCCTGGCTAATGAGATTAAAACAGAAGCCAACCACTCTGCTCACCAAGAGATCCACAAAACATCAGGCAGGGTGCAGCATGAGAAATATGGTGGAAGTGATAGGCATCCAATGCTTTGCCTGGCAGCAATCTTCTGGTCTATCCATGGAAGTGAAGGTAAGGGTTGAGGATATGTCATTTGATGAAACTGGTGTATTCAATAAGGGGACAGATGGACTTGGTTCAGAAGGTGAGAATGAACAATAGGACTGAATCAACTCCCACTGCTTAGACTTGTGAGCAGCAACACTCTCCTTTCACATATCACAGGCCATTCTGATTTCAAGGCCCAGGTCGATTCTGCAGGTCAGATGGACTGACCACCATGCCTGTCCTCATCAGGGCTGTCAACGGCTGGATGGAAGACACCTGTGACTCCACCTTTAGACTCTTGCCACCCTCCTTCCTCACCAGCCCTTTTACAATGCTTGGGTTGAGATCACCTTGGACACATGGGTACTATCCATCATTGTGCATGGATACAAAATCATATTTGAAAACCTCCCTCATCTCAGTACCATCTGAAACCCTCCTCAAGGAAATCTGCTCCCTACTCCAGAAAGGAGCAATTGAGCAAGTACAACCCAGTAATGGTTTCAGGTTTTATTCCATACAAGGCAGATGGGACCTCTGCAATGAATTGCATCACATTAACTAACTACTGGAATTGCTAGTAGTATAGAAGGCGCTCATGGTGTTTCAAACTTTGATCCCAAATCGCCATGTGCAGATTTTCTCTGGCAGCACGGCAGTGCTCTGCTACATAATAAGTCAGAAGGCACCAGATCGATTCCTCTAGTGTACTTGTTGACCAAAATCTGGATGTGGTGTACAGCTCAAGGCACCACCCTCACGACTATCCATGTAGCCAGTACCAGGAACATACTGGTAGGCATACTCAGCCAACACTTCCATGGATTGCCATGAATGGGAGCTAAACCAGTTTGTGTGATGGACGGAATGGGGCTAATCCCACTGTAATGAGCTAGGTGTTCCCTCCCCAGCAAGAAACACTGTCCAGCACTTCTTGTAAGCGTTTTTGTTCTACACAGAATAAAGCCTTCTCTTGCTCTAAGCTTACAGAAGTCTCTGAGCATACACAAAGTGAGATGCTGAACACTCTCTGCCCTCCCACTTACCCAAAGCTTTCCTCATGAAGCCTTCTGGGCCTGTCTTGGGAAGGAAGGGCACTGTGGAATTGGGTGTACCTGCATTCTGCACTCTGAGCCCTTAATTGGGCTAGCCTGTTGTGACAAAGGCCTTTGAGTCCACCTCCTCAGGAGGTTGGAATTCTCCATCTGAGAGACTACCCATCTCCAAATTCTCTCCCTCCAGATGTTGTTGGTCTTCGTCATTCCAACAGGTGGGTGAACTGGGCCCCATGGCTATCCTTGAACTAATCTCATCTTGAGCAGGCATAGATGGGTACCAAGAAACTGGGGCTGCAGGTGGAGGCCTGTCCATTACAACAATTGTGTTATCAGAATTTGAGCTGTCAGCCCTCTCTCTGCATCAGCCTACTCCCCATCATCCTCTGACTCAGAGCTATCAGTCCTACCAAAATGGTCAGCTTCTTTTTTGCTCCTGGGAATCTCACCAGGACACCTGCACATGTCACCCACATGGATTTTTTTTCACAAAAAGAGAGATTTTGGCATGCAGACACTTCTGCTCCAGGGCAGGAACAGGAACAAGCTCAATGGGGGATGCCTTCCTGTTAATATGGGGTGGGAACCTGTTCTACCTCTTTTCCCCAACTTCCCCAAAGGTCCTGGCAAAGTTCCACCAGGATGAAACTGACTGCATTCTTGTCACCCCTTAGTGGCCTGGACAGCCATGGTTCTCTCACCTACTAGTCCTCTACAACTGGACCTTCTTGTACCTATCTCTGACATCATTTTCTGGGACCAAGGTGCCATTTTTAACCCAGCAGTGCACATGCTGTGCCTCACAGGCTAAAGGATATGTCCAACACCAGTGTCTTAACTGATATGCCTGCATACCACCACCTCACACTGAAGGCCACCCTGAAACCTACCACAAGATGCTCATACCACAAAAAATGGGAAGCCTTCTCTTGCTTCACCTCAGAGCACAACTTTCAGCCTGACAGCTGCTTGGCACAACAGCTGCTACTGTTTCAGAATGCTCTATACTGAAGGAGACTGAAGATGTCATCAATCAATGTGTATCTGGCTGGCATTTCTGCCTTCCATCCCCCAATTCACGGCCAATCTTCCTTCCCCCATCCCCTCATTTACTGGTTACTGAAAGGCTTCAATAACCTTGCCTGAGCAACCTGATCACCTTCACCTGCCTGGAGCCTTTGTGTTGTTCTTCATTGTCATTACAAAGAAAGCATTCAAGCCTCTAGCCACTATGGACCTCCAGCTCCTTTCATGGAAGACTGCCTTTCTGGTGGCCATCACCTCAGCTTGCCAGGAAAGCGGTCACCCTCCAAATTAACCCCCATACATCAGCTTCATAAAGATAAAGTAGTATGCTGCCTGGACCCTTATTTCTTACCCAAGGTAGTCTCATTCCACCTTAACAAAAACATAATTTTGCTGGCCTTCTTTGCATCTCTGTCTGACCCAATCAAGTCAATGCTTCACTCCCTTGATGTCCGTAGGGCTCTGGCCTTTTACAAGTCCAGAACAGAACCTATCTAACAGTAGCAAACACTGTTTGTTGCCTATGGGGGCACAAACCGGGGTCACCCATTTTGGCACAGAGACTGTCAAGATGGGTAGTAAACACAATCCTTTTAACTTATGAACTTTCTGGCCTACAGCAATCTGGCCCAATTCATGCCCATATCGCCAGGGCAACAGCTACCTCTATGGCTCTATATGTCTGAGTGCCATGCAGAGCCATGGTCAAATCTACAACCTTTATACACCACTACTGCCTAGATGCTCAACCCAGAGTGGACTGTGCCTTTGGCAGAACAGTCCTGTCTTCAGTCCTCTTCTAGCAACACCACCCACCTTTGTGAAGTAATATTGCCATATGTGTGATGCATAGAGATCACAAAGAAGTCAGGTTGCTTACCTGTAAGTGTCATTCTTCAAGTGGTCATATGTGCATTTGCACAAACCCACCTGCCAGCCCCACTGGCGTTGCCTTGTTGTTATTTATTTATTTATTTATTTATTTATATGCTGCCTGATTGGTCATAGTCTCTTTGTGCAGCATATCTACAAAGAATAAAATGAAACTATACAATAAGACAATAATATCAATAAAATTAATAATTATAAAACTACTGATAATAGATAAATATATAAAGTAAATAGTTAACAAAAGTTAATAAATGGAGAGGTGATATGAACAATAATCCTGTAAAACAACACCATTAACAACCAAAATAAGAAAACCATAACATTTTAAAATGGTAGCAGCACCAAATGTAAAAACGAACCTGATAAATTACTCTTCAAAGTATATGTGGAACAAAACGGTCTTCAGCTGGCATCTGAAGGAGCCTAGAGTTGATGCCTGCCGAATCTCCTGCAGCATCATGTTCTGCAACTGGGGTGCACTGCAAGAGAATGCCCTCCCCCATGCTAACTCCCACACTTCACTTGGGGGAGGAGTGCAGAGGAGGGTCTCCAGTATTGACCACAGTGATTGGGAGGGTTTATATGGAGGGAGGAGCTCCCTCAGATAAGGCCTTATACATCTTTGTAAGCACTTTAGTTGGGCCTGGATGGCAAGCAGCGGCCAATGTAGCCTGTATAGGACTGGAATGATGTGCTCACAAATGCTGGTCCTAGTTAGCTGGTGCATTGCATGATTTTGAACAAGTTGCAGTGTTCGGTCCATCTTCAAAGGCAGCCCCACGTAGAATGTATTGCAGTAGTCCAAGTGGAAAGTTACCATTGCATGGATAACCATGGCAAGGTTCCACTCATCCAAGTTATGACCTCAGGTCTCTGACAGACCTGCCCCCTTTGGGCAGAATGACACAGCGGCAGTTTCAGTATACTTTGTAGAACTGAGGACCAGGCGGGAGGTGGCCTTGAGAAATAGCATTTATGCAGAGCCCTTATGTGTGAATGCACAGATGATCACTTTGAAGAATGCCAGTTATAGGTAAACGACTTGTAATATCCTGTAACCAGTTAAGTTTCAATAAAAGGACTGCCCTTTTAAGCTTTCAATGGAGTCTGCTGAAAGAAAGGTGAAAAGGGAAGTGACTTGCTCATAACATCCATTATAAAACAGCATTTGCTGAGGCCTAACCAATTGTACAGTAAAACTATTTCGATTGTAGCAAAGTATTGTCATTTCTTCAATATGTATTGGAGCAAAGGTTAGTCAGATACAATCCAGTGAGACTGGATTATGGGCATCCTATGCAGGGTGGGAAGAGCACAGAGGTGAAGGTCTAACTCAGAGAGGTGGGCGGAGGGACAGGAGGCTGAGGCAGTATCAGGATATCTTGGCACCACTAGTCTTCTCTCTGGCTTGCCACCCTCCTTGCCCCCAAGTTCCTTCTCTGAGTTTGCTGTTATGACCCCTGAGATGCAGCTGACATAGTACTTTTCATGCTGGCTATGGGTAGTGAGGGTGCTTAGAGCATAGATCCCCCAGTTCTGAGGTCAGAGCTCTTTAGTAATCTTGGAGCTGGGAAGCTGAACAACTGTATGGCCCTCTAGATGTGTCCCCTAGATGTTCTTCCCATTTTTCTGCCTTTCTTACTGTTTTTTTCCCCTTAGAGTAGCTTTTGTGTATTTACTGAATCTCTACTGTTTGCATCTTTTGCATTGTTACTTTTCAAAATTTGGCAACCTGTATTTTGAGCTGTTTCATAGTGGATCAGGAAAAAAATTACAGTAGTAGTTTAATAAATATAACTTTGGGATTGGTTCATGTCATCCTTTTTCTAGTTACAGAATCAGCACTGTTCATGAGGAACTATGGCAGTATCACACATTCATGCAGTAGGTGTGACTTGTTTACCCAAAAGTTCGTGTACTGTTTGATTTTGTTTTTAATAAACAGAAGTTATATTTGTGTAGGAAAAATATAATCTAGGAGGCATCTCATATTCAGACTCTAAATGCCTGCAATCTGTAGTGCAAGAAAGCTTGGTTTGACAAATTCTCACATTGCCTTTTTGAGGTAAACATGCTTCCCTAAAAAATTGAAGACTTTGCTTGATGCATTATTTTCTAGAAAATTCATTTTTGGTCATCTTACTCCAACTGTATTACTTTTACAATTGCAGCTATGCTCATGCTTTGTTTCCTTTTACAGGTTGTGCATGCACACAAACCCCACTTCATGGCGTTGCACTGTCAGGAATTTGGTGGGAAGAATTATGAAGCATCCATGTCTCACGTGGACAAGTTTGTTAAGTAAGTAACAAGAAACACTATTTAAAGTTAGATTATGTCTCCTCTTAGAAGTCAAACATTACTCTTTTTATTTACCTTTTTCATATTATCATTGCATTCTCCTCACAGGTTTAGTGATTGAGTATGTTTTCCTATGAAACTTTGATGGTTGTCTTCTTAATTATACATATAGCTATTTTGAATTTTAAGTAGTATTACAAGCCCCTTTGAAATTTTTGAAAAAATACAGGACATAGTCCAACTATTTGTCCAGCAAGTCTTCAAGGAAATCTGTGACTTTCTATATGCTGCTGTATTTCAACTACCATCAGCCTCAGCAAGCAGTGAAGGAAAGAGGGAGAAGAAGAAAGAGGAAAAGCAATGTACAGGGCAATCCTGTCGCATAATTTTTTAAAAACCCAGCTTCCAGGTGAGAAAATTGTCTTCCCTTGGCTCCCTTGCTGGTGCAGAAAGAGCAGCCTCAGAGAAGAGATAAAGGGAATGGAGAGGGAAAGAGACTGGGGCCATCAGGGTGGAACGTATCCTGGCAGTGCTCCTGCCTCTTTTCATTCCTGTCTGAAGCGCTGTGCTAGACCACTGAAATCAGTCATACAGCTGACTTGAGGGGCAGGAGGAACACAAAGGCAAGTTTTGCCTGCACATCCCTACCACCCTGTATTGGATGTCTGTAATTCTCTGACTGCAGAGGCATATTGGTATCCTCATTGGACCATGGCCTTTGGTTCTTCACGTTTGGTAAGAAAATACAAATTTTTAAACTATAAACTTAAACACAACCATTACTTCCTTTAGATCAGGGGTGTCCAACCCATGGCCCGCAGGCTGCATGTAGTCCAGGGTGACTGTGAATGTGGCCCAACACAAAATCAAAATCATTATGAGATATTTTTGTGATTTTTTTGGTAACTCGATTGCGCAGTTCACAAACGTGAACTTTGTAGATGACAAGGTCGTATTGCATTGTCATGTAAAATATATGTACGTATGTTCTCACTATTTGTACGCATCCATCGCTTCAGTTTTATGGTAGTGTGCAGCTTCTACTGTGTTATCTTCCAAGTGCAGACAGTCAGATTGAAAGCATGAGACATTACATGTGCTCATGGTGACTTGGCAAGTGAAACACAGCTATTATCAATTATATTTCAACCTACTATTGAAACAATTTTATACATTTCAACATGTTGACTAAACACAGTACTATGCAGCCTTGCTTTTTGATTTGATAGAAGAATTTGAAAACAGATTTCAAGATTTTGGGGGAAATAATCATTATTTTGGTATATTTGTGCCATAAATATGTTACCTGCCAATTTTCAAATGGAATACATAGAGCTGCAGTTTGACATTCAACTTAAAGAAAAATTTGATCATGGACTTTTATATATCCTGTCTTCCCAAAGACAGATATCCCTCACTTCACAATCACGCCTTATTCATCTCTTCGCTTTTTGGCAGCACCTACATTTGTGAGCAACTAAGAGTAAAATTAGAACCAAAACGTCTGATGAGCACCTTGAGAACTCACTGAGAATTTCAACTACTTCCATCAAACCAGATATTGATGCATTAGTTTCTCAAATGCAGTGTCAAATATCCCACTAGTTTTATGTTGCCCTCTTTTCTGTTTGACGATTTTAAAAGACTCTCTGAAGGGGTGCCACATAATTAGGATTATTATGTGAGGAGTTTTTTTGCTTATCTGTGGTGGCGGATATCACAAAAATTATGCACAGACCTTTATTTTTGTCCATCAAATTTCAGTAGTATTTGTGTATTTAATGTGCAACCTAAGACAATTTTTCTTCTTCCAGTGTGGCCCAGAGAAGCCAAAAGGTTGGACACCCCTACTTTAAATGAATGGATAAGGATAAACCTGTTTCAGATGGTAATTTGTACCATGGGGAGTCAATCCCTATCTGTTGCTTTCACTCCCAATGTCTCAGTGCATTCTGACTAAATCTCTGACTTCTCCACATTGAGTTGTGTAGGCATAGAATCTGCTCTCAGATCTTCCTGCACTGACCCATAGAATCTCTCTCAGGGCTCCTGGCTAATTTGTCCCCTGGCCTTCCTATGATGCCAGACATGCCCCAACATTTTGATGGTTGGGTCAGTGCATCCTCTCAATAGGTACAATTTAATAACATCTGAATAGAACTATAGTATTCCATTAATTGGTTTATTTATTCATTTAGGAATTACTTTCTGACAGGTTCCCCAGGGTCACTTAAATTAAAAATATCCTGTGGGTATATGGGGGAAGTTCTGGTAAAAAAATCAGAAAAAAGATTTACTGAACAGAAGTGGCAAACTTTTAAGATATTGTAATGTTAGTGAAGCTGTTCTGGTCTTGGAATGCTGTTCCCCAGTTGACAAACCATTTCTGCTGTGTATCTGATGCAAACACAACAAGGGTGGTGGCAGTATCAAGCAAAGAGGATAGGAGGGGGGTTTTTTTGCTTTTTAAAAATCAAATGGTTGTAAAAGGTGTGAAAGAAGTTTCAGTTTGAAAAATTTGATTACAAAAGATGTCATTTTCTTCTGCCACTGAATCTTTAGCCCAGCTAATGAATAATGAAAGGTCAAATGTAGCAAGCATTACTATTGCTATTGTGTGTGTTAGAATGGGATAAAAATATCAAAATAACAGGCTAGCAAAAAAAAAAAAAAAACCTCTCATGAGCAGAGCCGGTGGTCAGACTAGATGGCTCAGGAGGCCTCTTCTGACTCACTATGTTTCTATGTTTCTATAACATTCAGCTGTTGTTGGTTCTCCAACAACAACAAAAGATGCAGTCCATTTCAGTGGTAGATTACTGTTAATATTTCTTAGCATAGGCCAAGAATGCAAGTTCTGTTAATGTTTAATAGAATAGATTAATGATTTATTTGGAACATCTGAGTGCATGTGTAGATTTGGTTCTTTGTTGTGGTCTCTATGCATCACACATATGGGTGCTGCACCTGTACAGTGCTTGCGTTCAGGAAAATGCTCTCAGCTGGTAACATTTTTGGCAGGAACGCCACCCCCCCACCCCATTTAAATAGGTGGAGTCCCTGCAGTATTGCCAGTCCACTTTTGACTGCTGTTCACTGTGCCTTGGGTTCTCTCATCACTTTGGATTTCCATCACAAATTTCTCTTTTGCCTATTCAATCTTTCAAAAAAGGTCCTTCCCCCCTTTTCCAGACCTCTATAATCCCATTTCTATCATGACTACATCCCCTTCCCTTATCCCCTCTCCCTCTCCCCACAGTCATCTCTAATTTCCTCACATTTAATTGAAAGTTTATTGTCCCAATTCTTCTTGCTAAACTTTTCTTTCTTTCTGATGGTCCAACGTTGTGCATTTAGAAGGTGGGTGCAGTGCAAGGTGAAAATGCCATCTATGCACAGCCATTTGCTCTGCCTACTCTGCCTTGGAGAAGGGCATCAGGTGGGCAAATGCGTCCACTGCCAAGCCTTCACAAAGCAGGCTTGCAAAAATCACGAGAACAAGCTCAAAAAAGAACTCTGGGAGAGAGCCCTGATAGCAATGAAGGAGGTTACTGCTGACAAAACTGCTGGTCCTCCTGGAACCAAAGGAAGTGCACCTGCACATGCCGAGCCTGAAAGAAGCTTTAAATCCACAAAAGAGCACTAGAGTTGGTCTCAGTCTCCTAAAAAGCATAAGGAGAAGAGAAAACTAATTGAGACTGGAGAAACTGGGAAGGAAAAATGTCCCAGAAAGGAAAAGCTGGAGGAAAAGAAGAAACGACATTCTCATTCAGCACAAAAAGATGTCCCACACCAAATCAAAGTGGAACAGGGCACATTGGTACTGAGCAAGCCTCCATTCTGTCCTCCATTAGTACAAATAACACCGAGACCACCTCTGCGCCACATTTTATTTATTTTATTTAAAATATTTCTACCCCGTCCTACACGAAAATTGTCCCATGATGGCTTACAATAATTAGGACAATAAATAAATAGAGCAATAAGTAAAGAACATAACACAACAACAACAAACAAAATTCAACTGCAAATATTAAAACCAGTTAAAATTCCTTAATCCTTAAAATAATGGGTAAATAAAAAGGTTTTTACCCGGCACTGAAAGAAATATAAAGTCGAGTCCATACTGAGACCGTCATCATGATCTCACTACTGCCTGACCAACCCTCTCAACCAGAACCAATGTTGCCAACCTCGATATCTGAAGGAGAGATCTGGGGGTCCCTGATACGTTCTCCAGTACCATCCAAACAATTGGTATGAATGGCACATGATCTTCAAGATCTCATGCAACATCCTCCCATACCAACTCCTTATGGATGACTTCCCCGGGTTTGACTCTGAGACCCATCCCTGTATTCAAGCCAGAGATTCCACAGTACAGGAGGAGTCAGTACTGGATGCCTCCTCTATACACAGGTTACGGACATGGATATCCATGGGAATACCTGCCACCATACAGATACCCATATCTATCACTTCTTCTACATTGCAGGCCACAACAACCTTACCATCCACATCTTGGGAAGAAATGACTACTGTGAGTCACCCAGTAGAGGAAGAATCACTGGCACGCACTTCTTCCTTGAGTGTGGCTTACATTTCTGACTTGGATTCGGAGACTACAGAGCAGGCCTCCACCTTGCCTGACCTTATGGTATTGGCACAGGGCCCAGGATCACCTGGAGAGAGTATGGGATGCTTCTCTGAACTGCTCATCCATATGTCAGCTTCCTTGGGGATTGACATCCCACAATGCATGGATCCATAGCAAGACAACATATACAGTGTTATCAGAATGAAAGATGCAGTCCCAGTTGCCCTACCGTTTACCTCTACACTATGCCAGGTGATGATGGAACCATGGAAACTACCCAATCATCCACACTCAACTTCCCTGTGCCTGGAGTCAATGTATAAAGTCAGGGAACAGGATATCCCATTTCTTCTGCAGAATCCCTACCCGGACTCGGTGGTCATCAAGTCGACACTAGGTCATC